TCTGGTCTGGCAACATCCGTGGTCCAGCATGATTTTAGTTAGCCAGATGTCCACTTATCATGGGTCTGGCCAAGTTTCCCTGGGCCTTGTGAAGTTTGTTTACAGCCACCAGTCCTGGCTCTCAGTGTTCTGGTCAGGTCCCCAGGGTACTGGACTAGAGTGATTCCACCTTATTATAAAAGGTTACTAGTCACTTACCCAGACTGATTTCATGATTGCATAAAAGTACTTTATTGGCCATACTGAAATCAATGGACAATCCCGTTTAAAAATTGGTGTCATATTAGATTCCATCTCTAACAATGGGAATCTAAAATTTACCATATAGTAGAGAAAGTTTGTCTGTTTATTCAAGACCTCCTAAACAGTAAGAGCTAGAATCACCAAATTCAGTATACAGCTTCCTCTTATCAAAGCTTAAAACATTGTGAAGGTTTGGTTGTGCCAGGAAAATGGGATGTGCCTAAAATAGGATTGTTTCTCATAAAACCAAACAAAATAGGCAGAATCACTAGGCAGGTAAAAGCAGCTGGCTGGGTGCACCCCATCCACTCTCTGGGAATATCTCAGTCCAAACATCTCACCCCCCTCTCCAGCGCTCTTCAGTGAGGGTGGGGGGAACTGAAACTCCCTTCTCTGCCCAATTTCTACAGGGACTTTGCTGGTGGTTCCTTTGTCAAGGAGGGAGAGAAATGTGCACAGTTTGCTGCATTCCTCACTCTCACTGTACAATGCAGGGAGCAGATGAGCTGCACACTTTGCCCTCACTCCCTGAGGGAGACAGGATGGGGAAGATTTGGGGGGGGGGGGGAGATTTCCCCCTCCCCTCTACCCATACAGAATCCTCTGTCCTGAGCCCCTCCTTTCCCCTCCAACTCTGTCTGGCACTATCCACACCTTCTGCCCTAAGTCTCTCATTAAGGACTGGAGCAACGCTGGACAAATGTGCTAGCAGTTTATAAATGAAAACACATTTTAATGTTATTATAAGCTCAGGTTATAGCACAACAATACCTTTCAAGTTACTTTCTTGATTTTAGTATTTTATGGATATTTATATTAAATTGGTCATTTTTGGACAAAGAGCTGAAAGAATGATAGCAGCTTCCTAGGTTTTGCTCTGTATATATATATACCGTCAGTAAGAGGCCTGCTGCTTTCTGTAAACCATGCAAGAGAGTGCTCCTCTGTTTATTTCTTGCATCTGGTATGTACTAATGTTTGTAGGTTAAAAAATATAGGACACTTTACTTCCCATCCCATCCACAATCTAAACTGTTCCTTGAATGAATGCTAAAATGAATAAGATTTGATTTTTTGTAAATATTTTACTTTCTCCTCAAACATTTAGGAGACTTGTGATGGTTAATAACCCATAACACTGATTTATTTGACTTTAGATTTCATGTTGAGGGATTCAATGTGACATGCTGCATTTGCATATATAGTACATCTCCTTTTCAATCCATAAGTGCACATTATTAGTAGTATATATACTTTTAATAGCACTCGTCCTTGAATGTAGGTTAGATGGGTACACACTGCCATCTAGGCAGGATTTTGAGAGCAACACATAGCTAAAAGAGAATAACAACTATTTATGCCATGGAGAATTCTCCTGTTATCCACAATGGAGAAAAAAATAGAAAGTGAGATTTTTATTACTTCGATCCCACATGAGCCATTTGCTGAAAATACAGAGTTTGAGAAAAAGGAGAGTGAAACAAATGGTAAGAATACATTTTATTTTCTAAGATATTTATTTTGGAATACATTCTCTTTTTAGTTTCACATGATAAACTTAAATAAATAAAACCACAGAGAATAAAATTGTTGGGCACGGTTAATTGGGTTCATGCTTACAATATACTAGTCCACAAATTAATATCAAATACAAGTAGTATTAATACTGTTTGTTAATAAAGTACATATTACTGTGGTAATGTGTATGTATTTAAAATTACTTGATATATGCTATTAGCACAATTTAAAAAATGCGTAGAAAAAATAACATTTTATATTTGCAATAGAAATTTTAGACAACAGATTTTTATAAGAAGTTTTGTGTTAATAAAAAATTCAGAAATCATTTCCGTAAGAAGGAAAACACTATATGAAACAAAGAATGATTAGTGTGTGTTTAAGTTTCATACAAATAATGAATACAATACATAAATAGCCTTCATAAGAAGACTTGACTAATAAAACATCATCTTAATGCAATATTAAAAACATGTTAGTGGGCTTCCTTTTAGGGTTTATCACATCAAAATGATTTCTTCCTCCCTCAGTAAATCCAGCAATGCCATGTGGGACTGTGAAGTGAAGAAGTGAATTAAGAGTGTAATAAATAGCATGAAATCTGATGGTGGGAGCTGAAATGATATATCATTTTTAGCACCTGCAAATCTCAAAGCCCTTTCAAACATTAATGCTTGGTCTCAACACAGGTGTGAAGCAAGCACCACCTGATTTCATAGCTGAGGAAAATGACACATACAGAGACTACTGTTTTTATACTGAGAAGTGTTGAGAGCCCACATGTGCCAGTGTGTGTAGGTACTCAGCACCTGTGAAAGCAAAACCATTTGTTTAGGTGCATAAATGGAGGATATATGGGTTTATGCACCCCCGTTTAAAAATGTTGTCTTAATAGTTAAGACTTCCTTTGACTTCAGTGGGAGCTGGACGAGGGACTAAATAATTTGCCCAAGATCCTCAGGCAGTTGGGAATATACCCCATGTCTTTTGATATCAAGAGCTATGCCTTCACAAGGTTGTTAGGCAGTTGGGAATATACCCCATGTCTTCTGATATCCAGTGCTATGCCTTCACAAGGTTGTCCTTGCTCTTGTGTAATTTTGCCTTGTTCTCAAAATCATGCAGGAAGTCCCCCTGAGCTGTTAAATGTAGAGAAACACTTTCTCCCCCCGATGATACACAGTTTTGATGATAAAACTTGGGCTATATTTTGGGTATTTGGAATTCCCTTCCTAAGTAAGAAGTTCAATTAACTGGACACTAGGTATCAATTTAAAAGACTCTCTCAGATTTTTGGCATGAGGTCTCAAGATGATATTCACACCTTACACAGAAGGCAAAAACAAAGCCTCTGAACTACTTCTGTGGCACTTTAGGAAAGTGATGGACAGATGAGCAAAGTAGGTACAGGAGGTATCCATTCTGGTTTGAAGCCATGATACCATAATAGGCTTTACAACCCCTACGTAACCTGGGGACTGCCTGTATAGCCGTCCACTGAGAGACTCCCCATGGCAATGGATCCCCATTCTTCCCTCAGCTTGTCTAAGCTCTGATTCAGCTTTATAAGGCATAACCAGCAAAAAAAGTGGGTAAACATGAATGTTGCAAAATCTCTCAAAATGAGCATTAATAGGTTTCATTATATTGTAATTCCTTTTTGTAATACTTAAGGTCTATTTTCCTCTCTAAGGGTACGTCTAAACTACATGGCTCTGTCGATGGAGCCATGTAGATTTGTTTGTTTGGCAAAGGGAAATGAAACTGCGATTTAAATAATCGCGGTTTCATTTAAATTTAAATGGCTGCCGCGCTCACCCGACAAACAGCTGATCAGCTATTTGTCAGCTCAGCGTGCTAGTCTGGATGCTCCCGCGCCGACCTGAAAGCCCTTTATCGACCTCCCCGTTATGCCTCGTAGGATGAGGTTTACCGGAGAGGTCGATGAAGG